AGCACCGTGCCCTGCGCCAGCCCGGCCCCGCATGAGGGACGAGCTCCGAGGGCTCAGGCTCCGCAATAAAGCAGTGCCAGGCCTGCGGGCCCGCTGCGGCTTCCCTGCAGGGTGCGCCGGGCTCAGCTCTTCCCCACGGTCCTGCTGCCACCAGCCCCAGGCAGGACTGAGCTGCTTTGCAGAGCCACCACCTCCGTGTTTGTCCCGAACAGCCACAGGTGCCTTCAGCGGACATGTCCCTCACGGGCCATGAGGTGCTCCAGACCATGCTCACACCGTGCTGCTCGTTTAAAAACCCCAATCCATACTTTCCACACACACTGTCGGCTGTGAGCAGCTGCGCTGTGCCCACTGGCCTCAACACAGCACCACAGCTCACCAGCTACTGCTGCCTCCCTATGGAGGTACCCAGCACGGGACACACGTACTGTGCTTGGCCACATCTGGAACTTCCCAAACCTGCCTGGGCTGCCCATGGGATGTGCAGGAGGCGGGAAAGGGACCAGAGCTGCCATGGTGGCTTTCACACCAGCAAGGCTGACACCACCGGGAGCCTCTCTCCTCTCCAATCCACCCAGGGATTTTGGTTTCTTAGAGGTGTTTTCTGCTGCAGGCGTTAAGGGCCAAGAAGCAAACCTGCTGCTGGGTGTTTGTGCCAGGTCAGTGAGCTAAAGCCTTGGGTGGGATGGACTTGCAGACACTGCATGGCAGGGCAGGAGGGTGTGACACCACCTCCTTGTCCCTCCTGCACCACAGCCTGGTACTGCAGAGCGGGTCCTGGTCCCAGTGTGTGTCAGGGATGGGGATACCCAGGTCAGGGTTGGATGTCACTGCTGTGGAGGGGCTGTGCACAGCCTGGGCTGCAGCCCCTTCCCCACAGCCCCAGCACAGGGTGGTGACTCCCTCCGCTATGGCTGTGATAACAACACTCCAAAGAAAGAGAGGAAGCGAGAATTCCCCGGCTGTGCTGCGGTGTTAACGTGCTGCTGGCTGGAGCCCGCAGCCACCCGCCTCCTTCCTGTGCAGTCTGATTTAGTTTGTTTGCTTCCCCAAAGCAAACAGTGTTTAAACTTGGGGGGTGTTTGGCAAATCCCCTCCCTTGCTTATAAAAGCTGCTTCCTGGCACAAGGCTTCCGGCATCCTGTTCCTTCCAAACACCGCTGGCAAGGGGTGGCGGGGGACTCCAGCACTATTTGGTACCTATAACCCAGCATCCCAGCACTGGGTTTATCTACCAGCTGCTCCCACCAGTGGCCATGGCCATAGCTGTGGTTCCACCACAGGCCCAGGGGATTAGTGTGGTTTTTAATCCACAGTAAGAAGTAAACTAGAGTAAAGTTAGCACAGATGAGAAGTGAGCTGAGCCATACTGACCGAATTCTGCATACATTTCTCCACTGCTCCCCATTGAACCCTGTGCCCTGACAGCAAGGGGTGGGCTCTGGGGAACGCTGACTGCCTGGTCCCTGTCTTGAAGGGAGCCAGGAGAAGCACGATTTTCTTGGAGACTTTGAAACATAGTTTGAGTCCTCACAATTCACAGCCCCACACAAGATGGGTACCACTATCATCTACCATGTGATGCTGAAGCAAAGCATCTTGTATGAGCTCTTGCCTCCAAGGCTGTAGCAATTCAAACCAGTGGAGAGCAGGCAAAATTGAACTGAACAATGTTTTGGGCTTTTTCTCTTGGTAAACATGGAAGCAGAGTTGCAGCTATTCAGCTCGACATCTATTCAATCAGTGCTGTTTCCCACACAGACAATACTATGGTCCTCAGGGGGCCAGGCTGACTTCATGCCAGGAGAAGCAGAGGTGAAAAGCTGAGTCTCCTGCAGCCCCATGTCCTTCTGTGGCTCTGAGGAAAGGAGCAGTCACGGCTGCCAGCCCCACTGCACGTCACGGCCTTCTCAAGGGTGTTCTGTGCTTGTGGTGTTTGCTGCTTCAGTGCCAGATCTCAGGAAACAATGAATTCAGTGGTTACCCAGTGCCTCTGCCTTTCAGCAAAGTGACTCAGGTATGAAGCAATGCAAAGAGTGCTGGTGTTATTCTAGATGAGGCCAGACAAAAGCTACTTCAGTCTCTGGTTAAAATCCTACTTTTTCTCTCTAAGCACATTTACTGGAAATGTGTCAAAGCCAAAGAATGTAAAAATGTGCTTACAAATAGCACAGCAGTTCCCAGGAGCGAGTTTCTGTAGGAAGGCTGCACAATTCCTGCCTGTCCCTCTGCCCACTGCAGGAGCCGCCTTGGGTATTCCCTTAGCACACTGTCCTTGCTGGAGAACAAAGTGATGAAAGGGGCAAAAAAGGTTTCAGCAAAGCCTCCTTCCTCCCCTTTCCTGGCTCTGGTAGGGGAAGCTCTTCAAGTCACCCTGCAAAGAGCCAGGTTTTGTATAAAAGAGGGATCACCACACTGCCCTGCTCTCTGCGGACCCATCCTGTGCCCCCATCAGTACAGCTCAATATCTTCCCCCATCTGCCAGAGAAGAGCTTGTGTCACACCATCTGTGGATACCGCCCACTGGGGGAAAAGCTGAAGTTACAAAAAATTATCCAAGTTTGCAAAACTGCAGGTACAGGAGGGAGCACAGAGGTGGGAATGCAGAACTGAAGTTTGCTGTGGTGCCTGCCTGCCTGCCTGAGCAGAGCCATGATACTTGTCCTGCAAGGCTCCAACAACCCCAGCCCGGGTGCTGACTCACCACACAGCCTTGGCCAAACCACTCGACCTCCTCACCCCACTGCAGCACCCTGGGGACAGGCCACAGCCAGTGTCTCCCAGCCTGGAAAGACCAACAACAGCAGGAGCACCAGCAGGCCAGCAGAGAAGTGGATTCAGGCTGAGCAGTGAACCGAGGCTGACAAGCTTCACCCCTGCTTAGAACAAAAGTAAAAGGGTTAAAGGGTTATGCTCAGCCCTTCCTAGAAACCAGGAAACTGTTCTTTCTTTTGTGTCCAATGTTCTAGTGGGAAATCATAATGAAGCAGGCAGTGCAAAGGCAGTGCCTGGAAGGGCAGCAGTCCCTTCTGCACTGTGCTTGCAGTGGTCCTTCATGGACTGCAGTGAGTGCTGCCAAAAAGCTGGAGTAGAAAGGGAAAGTGGGTAGTTATCTCTGCAGCCTGCTGCTGTGAAAGGAAACCATCCCTTTTATCAATCTGTAACAAGGACTCTTGCTGAAACAGGAGTCCTTGCCACACCTTTGTTGCCTTCCTTGTAATCAAAAGCTCCATTCTTTCATAATCATCTCCATTTTAATCTAGTACAAAAAAGCACTTTACTCTTAGGATTTCATTAAACTGCCTATTCCAGCTCTAGCAGTACTGTGAACTTAATGACTCAAAAATGTGCTGAAGTACAAGCTAGGTAGAAGGGATCAATAACAATTTATGAGGAAAAGGCCAGCCCAGGATAAGCAAGAGGTTTCAACAAGACACAAGGAACTCAGCTTGAGGAAAGTACCATCATATCCCTGTTCCAGGAATCAAACACATGTTATTTCAAACTTACACGCTGCAAAAATCTTACAAAACAACTCCCCCTATTATTCTTTCAAATTAGTTTGAACTTCCTATGATTTAACAAAGATGTAATCATATCCGCAAAGATCCCAGAGCTCCTCATGAGCATCTTAAAAAGTAGGAATGAATCACTTCCTTGTACGACAACCAGCTCTGCAATGCCATGATCCTGGAAATGACAGCTGAACAGCCAAAGGCAAGCACTCAAAAGAAAATAAAAGCATTTAATGCAAAACATTTTACCAAAAGTTTTTACAGCAATTTCATATAAATGGAGTCTTCTCCTAAAACAGGAATCCACCGGTAGAAATGTCTTGTTACAAAGCTGATTACAAAACTTATCTCCTCAGCCACACAGAGAGGTAGGGAGGGTATTTCTGTCAGCTGAAAACACCTAAGATGAACTGAAAAGTAATGTTCAGGGTCTAGCCTGCCACATCTAAGTGATGGCTACACACATAAGTTTCTGGATTAAAACTCCACAGGCTGATATATCTCTACCCCGTAAGGCCTTTATTAAGCTTCCTAATAATTTGTGGGTATGCAATGGAAACATCTGCCTGTCAGCTGTTTTATATGGTTTTCTCTAATCCTGGGAAGACTGATGTCAGGGCAGACTATGGTGTGTGCTCCCCTGCAAGGAGCAGGCTCCAGGGATGGTTGAAAAAACATAGAAGAATAAAGAAAATGTTTCTATTCCTGCTCAGTTTCTCCCGGCTGTAGTTTCTGGGACCCAAGTGTAGGTTTGAACTGCTCATCCTGCTCCCTCTAGCAGCACAGCGGCTCACGGAAGGCCAGCCACCGGGTGAAACAAGTGGCGCAGCTACCCCAGGCTTCCCACCTAGATTTGCTGCTTCCCAAGCTGTCAGAATCTTAAACGGGTACAGACAGAGCTCATTCTGGAGTGAGGCCCTATGCAGACCGACAGCAGTCAGCCCAGCCAGGATCCTGGCAGCCCTGCCAAGAGCAAGAGGTAAAATCGGTCCTGGTTAAGAACTAGCAAAAGGCAGCTGGAAGGGAAGGGCAGGACAGGCTGGAGCCCTCTCCTCCCCTCTGCAGAGCGCTATAGCAGCACAGGCACTTCCCCAGCCCATTAATTCATCCCTTCCTTTGGCACACTTGGCTCGCCTGGAAATGATTACCTGTAAAAGGAGCTCTTTCACCAACGTAGCTGTTCACTGAAGTAGTGCCCTGTGAGGCTGGGCTCTGCCTGGTCTGCTGCCAGCCAGGCAGAGAAAGGCTCCAGCTAATCCCCTGCAGAGCTGGGCTGCCTGCTCCCTGCTCAGCAAAACAACAACAAAAAGGCCTTCGAGGAAGATGCAGTGGGGGGAATGCCGCTCCCTAGAAAACAAAGCCACATTAACCAGCCTTAACAAAGCAACAGTTTTCTTCCCCAGTGGAAGTGCAGGCTGGTGCCTTCCCTCCCCAGGACAGACTGTCTTTTGGGCTCTTCAGGGACATGTGGGAAGCCTGTGGGAAGCTGCTCCAGTGCTAGGCTCCCCACACTGCTACCAGGAGCTGAAGTCCCCGAAGCCTGTGCTCTTCTTCTCTTTCTTCACAGCTGTGCTGGTTGAGGGGCCGTCATCTTCCATGCTGCGCTTCCTGGAACCAAAACAAAAACAACTTTCAGGGACTATTTAGTGTTCAGTGGGACTGGGGCAGCTGGATGCCTTTCCCAGCATCAGCTATACTGGAGCCAGCTCACCCCTTATCAATTAGAGAGGAGTGAAAGCTCCATGGGGATGGTTTGGGTCAGGCTTTGAACACCTCCAGGAACGTGTTCAAAACTCAAGTTCTCCAGGCCAGAGCTGAAGACTTAGCACAGCCACAATGAAAATATGAGCCACAAGTTCCCACCCCACCTTCTCACCTGCACTTGTGGCAGCAGAAGGATTTATGGGGAATTAGGTGTAATGCAGCTGGACAAGCTTTTCAGACCCTTTCCTGTTTCTTGAGCACAGCTTGTTGCAGTCGATGCTGCTATCCCCAACCTGTCTCAAGCAGAGTTTGCAAACCCATGGAAACACTATGGAGCCAGCTCACATACTATGGTTTTATTGTCAGGTATCAGTAGCAAATAGGGAGAACCAAAAATCCTGAACCTGCCAAAGGGCTGCTATGGACCAGACTCCCAGGACAGGCTGCAATGAGTGAAGGACTAGGAATGAAAACTCCTTTCTATAAAACTCGGTCCTTTCCACATGGCTGCAAACTCTGCCTGGGTTTCCTCTGTAAATACAGTGCAGAATGGCAGCAGTTTTAAGCTGAACATAACATTTTAAGGAAAAAGCAGTATTTTGTAACTGAAACATTTTACTGACCCACATGGGCTAACATTTTTGTTCTCACAGTCATGCAAATGCCTGTAAATCACAGAAGCACACACAAGCTGATTAAATAGTTGTCCAGGTCTGTGTATGCATACATGCACACCTTCATGCAGCAGCTAGACAACAGCATGTTGTAAATGCTTTTAGAGAAGTCTGCTAAAAACAAGTGGAAGGCATTCATTTTAATTGTTCCAAAACTCATGCTAAGGTGCTGCTCAGGCAGATTCTGCATTTTCCTTAGGAAAGCAAGTGATGCTGCCAATCCCAAAGGGTGTACAAAGGGTGTCTGCGAGAGGATGCTTTAGGACAAGCCTGTACAACCAGCCAGGTACCCTGGAGCTACCTGCCAGATGTACTGTGCTCCCACAGCAAGCTTGGGAACCTGCTCCCCTTTCCGACCACTTCAGTTGTGCTGGTACAACTGTTGTGCAGCTGAACAGGGAACCAGATCAGCAGGCTGATACAGGTTTAAGGCAACTACTTTGATGCTGGGAAGGAGCTGCTAAAAGAGAAACATCTGTGGGACCGTGGCCTTCACAAATAACTGCAGAAGGGGAAGAGAGTAAAAGATGGTGTAGGAAGTGACACACTACAGTTCCTCAAGGACTTCTGAATTGTGCATATATATCTACAGTTCTGAAGTCAACAAATGCTGTTAAAGACCAACTTGGTCATGAATGGGCTGCCCAAAGAAGTGATAAATGCTTCATCCTGGGAAGTGTTCAAGACCAGGATGGAAGGAGTCTTGGGTGACCTGGTCTAGTGTGAGGTGTCCCTGCCCATAGGTGGGTGGGTGGAACTAGATGATCTTCAGGTCCTTTCCAACCCAAACTATTCTATGATTCTATGTTCAAGTGCTAAAACTGTAATCTTCAAGAGGGTCAGCAGGGAACTCTTGAACGTTAGGACTGCATGAAAGTGTCTTTGCAAAGCCTGCTGGTACAAACCAAATATCTAAGCAATGGCACTGGACAAGGTCAGTGTCCAGCAGGAAAGGCCATTAAAACACTCAACAAAGATTAGATGGGCAGGGCACTCACGCTGCAGCCATGTTAATGTATTTTCCAATCCCCTGCCGGTAAGTTTTAGGAGTCTGGACCTCTTTCTTCGGTGGGACCACTTCAGCTTTTGCCTTGGCTGCTGCTTCTTCTAGCTGCACCTTCTCTCTTTCAGCAGCAACCTGTGGGAAACAAAGAGTTCAATCTGTTGGATGAGCTAGTCCAGCATAAGGAGAAAATGCCTACAGCTCTTTGAAGCTTTAAAGCACTCTAAACCAGCAATCAGCACCACTATGATTACAAGGCAGGCTTTGGAGACAGACTTCAAGGGCCACTACAAACAGGCTGTCTGCAGCCATTATAACAAAACTCCCCTCTTCTCACCTGCAGCTACTGATAGCTAGTGGGGACATTTGGAAAGGAAACCACTGGAAGCATGATGGACTGAGAGCTGTGCCACTGCCTCTATGCTAAAAGAGTCGCAATAATCTGGCACACAAGACAATGCTGAATGGCAGCTGTTTAATCTTAGCTTGCAACCATATGGGCCAGGGGGCTGCACATGTTCAAAGAAAAGGCATTTAGTTACAAAGTTCTCCAAAGAAGAACTTTGTCCTTTCAAGAAAACCAACCGACTATCCTCACCTGGGCATCTGCTTCTTCATATGGATCAACAAAAACAGTTGTTGTCTGAATTCGTATTTCCTCCTGGGAGCAGAAGAGAAGAAGAGCAATTCAGTCTGCTGATTTAGTTACACCATCTCCCCCAGTCTGGTTTTCAGGGAAGGACCAGTGGGGTGAACTGCACTGCCACACAAGGCAGTGTGTGTTTGCTCCCTCCTGCACAGCCCCTGGCGCTTCACATGTACCTTGGGACGGTCTGTTTTGGGGTCACTTTCCACGTTCTCCATAGCAGTCAGAGTCTCAAAGCCACCAACCACCCTAAAAGAGGAAGAACATAATTTCCAGCTGTCACAACACCCTCAAAATATTCCTGCACCCTTACATCTAATACATCCATTACCCGAGCAGATTCGTCCAAAAACCTGGTAGCCACACACAGGACAAGCGACCATGGACAGGCGTCTGCGCAAGACACACACCCGTTTCAAAATGGGTTCACTTGCTAATGCTACATCCATAGATCTGTTATTCCCATGAGCTTTGAAAAACAAACCAACAGACCCGCTCAAGAAAGCAAATGTTTTCATTAACTTCTGATTTTTTTACTTTTTAGGTTTCTTTTGTTTTTTGAATTGTGTAGCAGACTGAAGAATGTTACTAGCAGGAAAGGAAACTATAACTGCCACTACTGTGGAGCAGTGACAGAGCTGTCTGTAAGAACACCACTACCACAGAAAGCACAGGACTGCTCTAAACCCCACCATGATCATGAGCTCATGAGGGCTCTGGGAAGGCAGCAGCACATCAAGTCACAGCCACAAGATAACACTGGGACTTTTCTCAGTGTAATTTTTGTTTAGGAGCACATTAGATCTTTGGCCTGTTGTTTTTCAAGTCAACATATGCAAATACTTGCCTGGAAATGTTTAAGAAAGGCTGAAGACTTTCTGGCCTGTTTAATGTTCATTTTTTAAAGAAGTGTGGAACAATGGGGAAGTTCCAGAAAAGGGTATTTGGAAAAGGATAAATGCGGTGACCCAGATTATTATAAGCCTGTCATCTATCCCAGCAAAATAATGGAATAGCAGACACAGGACATGATTAAGAAAGAAAGGAAATAAGTAATGGCAATCAACAAGGTCTTGTGGACAAAAGTCTGTCAAACAACCTTCTATCTTTGAGACAACAGATGTGGTTAACAGGGATAACAGTGTCCACGGAACAGACTGCTGGAAGGCAGCAGATACATTGACTGAGAAACGAGGATGATAAGAAGTTAACCCAGCACACATTAAACAAACGTGCTGACAGGTGTCAAAATCTAATTCTGAATAGGAACCACTGAGTCACTACATTTCCAGAGGGGTTCTGCTGGGATCAGATCCTGGTCCCAGGGTATTTAACACTTTTATCTACATCATCATCCACAATTAAATTTGAAAACAGCTATACTTAGAAGAGCAGTAAATAAAGACAAAGACAGGCCGTTGATGCCGAGCAATCCAGATCCCTTAGAAAAGCAGTCTGTAGCTGGACAACATCCGTTTTAACAGAGCCAAGCCACATGGCCAGAAACCAAAAATACAGCCCGTATTAATGGCTGTGGGACAATGTGAAGCAGCTATAATTCTCAAAACCTGCTCTTGGAGCCAAAGGAGTTTGGGACCAGGAGTGAGCACCAAGGGCACGAGCCACCATTTTAAGGAGCGCATAGCTAGACCCTAATGCATTTTGGTGATGCTCAAAACCTTCAGTCATTATGCTAATTACACCTTGTTGGGAATACTTTGCCACTTGTACATTTTAAAAGGCTATGACAGACATGGTATTCACAGGTTATCAGTAAATAACCTAAATAGTTTATTTTGACATGATTATAAAGGGCTAAGGGGGAAGAAGACAAAGGTGTCAGGCCTGCAGAGTGTGTCATTCTCTTTTCTTCTTAGCTTCTTGTCTCTCAAATGGAAAATTACTTTCTTTTATACCCCTGCATTCTATAACATTTTGCACAGAAAGTATCTATGCAAATTACAGTGTCAGCAGAGTGAGTTCTCAATATAGGTTTATGGTTTTAGACTCTGCTGTAATACCAATAAAACCCCAAAATTAATTTGAATGCAAACCACCAGCTCAGAGAGCTCTGGCCAGAGGAACCAGAAATAACTTACTATTCACTTCTGTCTAGGGAGCACTTCAAAGCTTTGTCAAGGATCAGGCCCAGGTGAAGCTGATGTTTCATCAGTAAAAATAAAACTCCAAAAGGACAAGATCTGATTGCAAACATCACATGTCCAGTAAAAGCTGAATTACACTCTGAGCATGGCACTCATGGCTAGATGAAAAAAGACCAGGAATATCCCAACTTAAGGTCTCAAACTGTAAAGGATTTTGCAAGCTTTCCTCTGATTTATCTAAGTAGAGATACAAGGTACCTGCAGGCTCCTGAAACACTACATGTTGTTATTGTCCAATCTCATGATGTTACATTGCAGCACTAAAATCAGTTTGATGAGATATAATGTGTCTAAGCCCATGCACTGGCATTTGTTACAGCAACTGCTCCTCACACAGTGAGGAAACCAACGTGCTGGAGCAGTTTGGGGATTCTTTGCATGTCCTACAACACATGCCGGGTATAAGAAGAAAAGGTAATGGATGCCTGGCCAAGAAAAAACCCAGACAAGTTATATGAAGAAAAGACCATCAGGTCAGTACATTAAAGCATCTGAAAAACCTTCTAAAGAGAGTGCCACTACTTAATATTATTGTAATATTCACTAACTTTGAGCAAAAAGAGATAAAATCTATCCTATGAATAAATAGGATTCTCACCATAAGGAACTCTGTACATCATTTTCATTGAAACAAAATGCAAACTCCAGAAATTTAGGCTAATATATATCCCTTTACACTCTTCACATGTGCTAAACGCATTACCCACACAGCAACAGTTCACACGCCGTTAGCCTTTCTCACACAACATCACTTGTGCTAAGTTGGGAGTGCGGTGGAAAAGAGAAGAGAGAAGGGCAGAAACAAGCTTAACCTTTTTCCCACTGTTTCTGGCTCTGTTCCTTTCATAAGGTGCCACACATGCTTTGTCCTAAATTGACTAAGCAAGGTTTAAACAGATGTTCAGATGACCGCCAACAGAGAAAAAGATGATACCTTAAAGACACCATTTACATTAGAACAACAGTGAAACGGAGGGCTTGTTGTGTGCTTCCAGTAGATGCTGAACAGAGAAATGATGATCTCAACTATATATTTAGCTCAGCATCCCTGAGACAGTTGGTTGTATTTTTAGAGGAGCTTGACAAATGTTGCATTACATTTAAGCGTGGACGACAAGGTAACATTTAGGCTTTTTCTGTTAGCAGGGTAATGAAACAAAAATGTGCCCTTACTCGTGCAATTCTGTTCTTAAAAACTGAGCAAAGGTAGCACTGGAAACCTTTGCATTTCAAATTTAGAGACGTTATTTAAAATCTTGCTTCCTGTTAAGACTCCTTTATGCAAACAGTAACCCTGCTTCATAACCACTGCCAATGTCTTCGCATGAAGTGTAAGTGAAATATCTGGAGCAAGCTCTACTTATTTGCAATATGCCAATATAAGTCTCACTGTACATTAGTTACTGCTGCTCCCAAAGAAAACTGCAGCTTCCTTGCAGTCTCACAGACATTCACAAATGGACTTCCTATTTCTGATAGTTTTGTTTAGAAGAATTATAGGAATTAAGCCTTATGCAATGCTGGGGATGGCAGTGGTCCAAGACGATAGAGTTTCCTGGTCAGAAGATGATACAAGAACAATGTGTGGACTTTTTTATTTTAGAAAAAGGCTTTAAACTAGAAACAGAAGCCAGAAAGAAGCACTCTTGTTTTGTAAACACATTCTGCCCTCAAGGTTATTTTTATAAAAAGGAGTGCATACATTTATATACACACACAGAGGGAACAATATAGACATGTCCAAACATGTACACTCAGGACAAAATGTTTTCTATGTACACACCCCATCTGAAAAGGATCGAGCAATTCGAACTTGTAACAAGGATGCAGCCAAAACATCTCAATCTCTCATAAGGGCTTAATCTAGCAGGCGAGACACAGTAATGATGGGCACTGAAAAAATAAAACAACTTGGAAAAAAGCATTTTGAAGCTAGACTCAACAGATGAACAGCAAGGACTCTGCTTTGGCACAGGTTCCTCTTCAGAGATCACACAACTGTTTTGGAAACAATAGCAGCCCTGGTGCACCTCCAACCACCCGGTCCTCCTGTGCTACAGGACACCACAGCCAAGGCTTCCACAGGGAGCCCTGGTTTATTTTCCCACCTTGCTCTTCACTCTTCTCTGGTGTCTGGGGAGCAGACTCTGCAGTGCAAAATTAGGTCAGGCTCCCTGCACTGATTCAACAACAGAATCTGCCTTTCTGCTGTCACACAATTTCTCTGTTCTTCAGATGAGTTGCAGAAGAGCAACAGGAACATGAATTTTCCTACTTAGAAGCCACTGGGGTTCACGGATTCAAATCATACAGCGAATGATACAAGTGGAAACAGATACTGTGCATTATTTAACTGTACCTGGGTAACTGAATAATGCCTGGTACTTGTTTTATGTAGCTAATTACTTTAGAGGACAAGAGTTACTTTCATTGCGCTGTTCTAGAGAGTCACTATAGAAAGCAATAAACACGTTAAGGAATACTTAATGCGGAGTGAATAATTATCCAAGGAAAGAAAACTCTTCCACAAAAGCATCTGGCAAGGGCAGGAGGGAAGAAAAGAGAAAACTGAGCTTGATATCAGCTACTGAACAAGTGCCTCCAATGTGACCAGGTCTGTGGTTTCCCAAACTACCTTGCTCATTATTTCCAGGAACAAGAGAATTGAAGAATGAGTGGCAGAAACCTCAAGAGATGCTTAAAAGTCATCTGTGTAAGCGGATACATGCAGCCATGTACAAAGGGGAAAACTGTCCTCCGTATATTCATCTCCTCTATCAGACGCCACATCCTTCTCTCAATTCTTGACAAACACAAGTGATTCTCTAATAAACACACAGAACTGCTGCACAGATAATTTCCAGCTTTGCTACTTTTCTCTCCACTTCCTCTATTGCCTTTCCTTTTTATCACATCATTTACTTGCAATCTGCCCTCACTTTTAAGCCCACCATGCTTTGCTTGTCCTAAATCTGACCCAAAACTGAGACAGCATTTCTCTCCTCCTGTTGATCAGCATAGCTCAATTACCTTCCACTATTATTTTAAACATACACTTTTTCATGTGTCCCTTTAGCTTTGAAACAGGCCCTCCCAAAACATACACAAAGCACTTATTTTGTTTTTCCTGGGGCTTTCTTTTCCCTTGGTTCTGAAGTGCAAACTGTCAGTGGAAAGCAGGCTGAAAGGGGTCACTGTCACAACTTTCTCCTCCATCTATATGCAGCCTGGTTTTCACTTACACACACTCTGGGCAGAGACTGTGTTTCTATTTCTGCTTACAAAGGGCAAATGTACCAGGTCTCTCATCCAAGGAGCTGTGTATGGGAACACTGGAGTAATAGAAAATATAATTACAGCATGGATGAGATTTGCTTGAATCTAAATCTCATAAAGCACACCAGACCGGAATGTTAGCTGATGCTGGTGTTTGGGCTGTAACATCCCTGCAGCTCATACAGCTCATACAACAGTTGAACTCCCAGTTATAACATGGGTAAGAGGGAGAGCCCATGTGCACAGGCCTCCACAACAGCAGTCCCCTGCAAATGCTTCTCATCCACTCTGCGCAGAGCAAATACATGTTGGTTGGTTTACATCATCTGAGTTACTAAATTAAACCTTCTACCAGCAAGCTAGAAGCCAAGAAAAGCCACCAGTTAGTTTTCACATTAATTACAGCATTCTCTAAGTTAGGAGAAATGGTAATTAGGAGAAATGGTAATTACTAATTTAATCTAGGCAGCTCTGCTGGAGCAGGAAATCCGTGCTGCCTGCAACACACCTCCAAGGGAACACATTCTTCTCTCATTGCCTTTGGTTTTGCTCCCCATACATGCCAAATTACATCTTTTATTTTCAGTAGCATCTGTCCTCATTACTGCCATGATGGGCAGCACCATCATGACAAGATGCCTTCCCTGTCCTCTGGTCTCTTCTCATGAGACTTGAAAATTCCAGTGCATCAAGCCAGACATGTGCCACTTTTCATAGTCCCACTGCCTGCAGCTGGTGTGTTTTCCAAGCATGCTTAACAGCCAAACATCCAGCATTAACAGCCGCTGCTATGCAAAAATTGTGTTGCAAACCAGTGGGGACATGAATAAGATGCAGCTCCAGAGAAGGAACTTTTCAATGTGCCATCCCACACAGGCCAAGAAAAAAAGAAAGGGGTGGGGAATGGCTGCTCTTTCACTCTTTTTTGTTCTCTGAAGTATGGAAAGCGTGCTGAAAAGTTCTACACAAACTACAAACAGGTCAAATTCTGCTCTCAAAGATACGGATGGGACACTCACTAACATAACATGAACGAGAACTCCATAGAAATAGCTGAGGGTACAGTTGAGACCAGAGTATTTTGGTTTTTATATTAACTGAAATAAGTAATCCTCAAATCTATATATGAAAGTCACAACAGGCCAGTAAGCATTCAATTAAGACAATCCAATTTAACATCCATGGAAACAAAGAATTAAGATTTCATGGGTTCATTGTATTCTTAAACCCAGATATTATTCCTAGATATGCTTCCCAGATATTATTGTGCTATACAGTCTAAAATCAGATACAGTCACCAAATCCTTGAAACACCCAGGATCTAAAATAGCAAACTAGAGCTGGCGTTCCACTACAGATACAATCTCTGGAATCTTTTGGCTTTTATGGCTTTTAAAAACAAACACAGGTAAAAAGAGCTGAAGGATTCTGATGACAGGATATAGATCTTAAGAGCTGCACACAGCAGCCTTTTATATTAAATTTGTAGGTAAATTCATTTATTCAAGTATTCAATTTTTAGATTAATACAGTGACTGGAATGCATCTAGCCCAGCATCTTCATTTTTTTACATTCTTTGAATTTACATGCAAGAGAATACAGAGTAAAATTCACCTTGGCTGTGTTCATACGAAGATGACACTCAGTGTTCATGCAGGAAGCCAAATATGATTCTACATCAACATTTTTATGAAGATTTTCCTTTGTATTTCAGCTACGAATATTTGCAGTGCTGAGAAAGCAGCACCACTTCTTTACTCCAGCAACTAAGTTCAGATTCCTGTAGTAGAAGGACAATTAAATTAATTGTCCTTTAATTAAAGAGACAGTCTTTGCTAAAACTGTGTAAATCTCTGCTATATACACGTAACAACATTTACTTAGACTTGCCCTCTCTAAAGGACAATGCACTTTGTGAAACATCATTCGAGCTCGTAAGGTACTTGAGATGTTATGCACGGCTTTTGGGAGCCCACCCCCTGCATCACATGAAGCTGAGCTCCTCTTACTCTTTCCTGGTGAATTATGATAAAACTGGAGCACATTAGGGAATGCTAAGATACTGAAGGACTAAACAGGATGCCTGCTCACTGAAGCCAGGCTGCATCCAGGACTGAAGAACAGTCACATTTTCAGCTGAGCTGTCCTAACCCAAATACTATTTGATGAGGTGGCAAGCTCAGGTTAACAGCATTACCATATGGGATTTAATTGGATTTTTGCAAGGAGGACTCAATTTGTAGCTTAAGTGAAATAGTCTTAGGATACAGGTAATGTAACCCCTCCAAGAATATACTTGCTCTCAGCCTTCGGTATTAGAATTTGCTTTATTTATCTGCTTTCACCAAATAATAGGGAACTTTAAATTTTTCTAGGACAGACCTAAGAAAGGAAAAAGAACTGTATTTCATAGGGTACAATTATTGCAGAATAAGTATTGGAACTAACAGCACTGAAGTAAATGTTTAAAATGAAGCCAGTTTCTGCCTCAAGAACTCTAAGACAGAGAAGACGGATTAAATATACCACTTTCATTGTACACTGCAATTGTATGACATCCAATCAAAGTAAACAGCACATGCATTTATTTTCAACCGCTGCCTTTCAAACAGGTAAAACTATGAAAAGAATTATGAAATCTTCACTTTTAAAAGATTGTAAAATCCCTGGGAACTACCAATGAAGCAGGCTAGTACAATTCTCCTTCCTGCCATTTGCATGGAGGCATTTGTTAGAACAGCCATGCATGACTTGGTAAATACCATGTACCAGCAGCAGAGGAAGCAAAGAACAAACTGTAACATAAAGCTTTTGTGATCTCCTCTGCAATAAATACCTTGATCTTTATCATGTGAGGGCTTGACTGGAAAAGACTTCTAGAAGAGACTTCTTTTTACAACGAATGAAGTTCCCTTGCTGTCTTGGCATTGGTAATATCTTTATATATCTACACACATGAACATGTATGCATATACACACACATGCACACAAACATACAGATTTTATACTGATGATAATTGTCAGGAATAAAAAAATGCCAGAAGAGCAGAATAAAATAAAAGGGGACAAAAGACTTAAACTATGTGGAAGCTCTATGTTCTATGACATGATGAACAGCAGCCCGGTCATGACTAATTTTCTGGTTTATAGCTCATAAGAGGATGAAAGCAGTGCTGAAGAGGTAATCTCTTGTGTCCCAGCAATTAGCATGTACAGATATTAACATGGTTGGTTACAGGATGATGATTACTTTGTTTGTGACTCCCTGGAGGGCCACCCACAGAAGGGGAGTAAGGCAACTGACAGTGACAGAAGGAGGAAAAAAGGCAGAGTGTGATGACTGGCACTGATGCAGTGTTGGCCATCTACTCATGACCAGCAGAACTGGATTGTGAGATATGAGTATGCTTCAGTTCAATTGCAAGGGTCCCTAGATTCTTTTCTTAAGGTTTCAGACACGAGTGCATGTCTGCTATACTGCTGTTCATAATATCCTTCACTTACCTTCCAAAAACCGTATGTTTCTTGTCCAGATACACACAAGAGCGGAATGTGATGAAGCTGGAAGGAATAAAGACATAACTGTTAGCATATTATCTCATTGACACTCAACAACAGCCAGTAATGCTTAAAAACATGAAAATGTTCTTTTACATATGCAAAAGCTCTCTGAGACAAGACAAGCCCCTCTCCCTTTCTGACTCCTCAACAGGAGCCTGCCGGCCAAACATCCTTTAACTCCTCTGTTTTGTGGGTATTGTCTTGGATTCTGGAGTTTTGACTTCTCATTTTTACACCTCACTAACATCTCTAAACAGTACTCCAGGCATGGTGACTTGCGCAAGCTCCAAAATTAAGCTGAGCATTTGCCTTCTTGGCCAGACAGGCCCTGGGAAGCTCATGCAGGACAAGGAGACGTGCATCCTGCTTGAGAAGTACATTTCTTGTGCGTGACTGGAAGCTTCTATCCAGTGAATACAGTTGTATAACACAACAGTCCCTGCCAGTGTAAACTTTTATCTTTCAGGATATTTACTTTTTGCATTTCTCTTCCATTACATTGGCCTGTCGGTGATCCACTTCTTTGATCACTGCAAATTTGTGCTTTGGACACAAACACAGCAGAAGAATATTTCCAAGAGTCAAAAATAATGAAAACCTGTGAAACTTGGATTTTTAATCATTTTAAATTCATTGAATTTTTAATTTTGGGGTATTTTTACACTTAAAATGTGGGAACTAAAATACCCAATCCAAAGCAACTTTGAGTCTAAAACTTTCCTCTAAAGCTTAATACTTCTTTGGAAGACGTGGACTACAAGCATATGAGACAGAGGTTTCCACACTGTGGTCTGCAGACTATGATGGCCCATCTTGGCTGGACATGCAGTGCTGGCTCTCCTCCCTGTCTCCATCTGTTTCACTACATTAGAGACAGCTAAAAATATATAAGCATTCCAAAAGCACTTTTCCATATAAGCAACTGCCTCAGGAAGTTATAGGATTGCAAATAGGAGGGGCTGCAATCTGCCAGAAAATCTATTTAGACATAGCTTGCCCTAGGAAAGCTTTGAGATGCTGTGCAGAATGCCAACTCCTACGCAGGGCAAACATTACAACTGAGCCTCTTGCATGGGTTCTTTGCACCACTTTATCCCCAGATAGCCAGTACTTAAAGACTGTCAAGTGATCCATTATGTAGTGTTGTAATAAACATTTGAGTGGTAGCAAATATAGAGAATGCTTCTCATCCATCACTGCAGTCAAATAAAATTAAGGACAATGGAATTAACATAACTCAGGATGATCCTGGAGGAGAATTCCTGAACATTATTTGACCACCACCCTACACAGGGGATCTGGCTCACCCTGCACAGCAGTTGCCTATCACCTACCGTGAAAGCTATTCACCCAGTTCCTAAGGTCACACCAGTTACCAGAAGTTTCTAAACATGGCCTAGGAAGCTTTATAAATATGGGCAGCTGGAGCCTCTCAAGGACTTCACATATAAAGGAATTTTACATTTCATTTGCAAATTTGAGGGAAACATATGATTACATTTACAGGAGCAGACGATGTGACTCAATATGGCACACTGCTCATGAACTGTCTCTTTAACTTCTGTTTCTAGAATCCCCCTTTGAAAAAAAAAAGAAGAAGCCTCTACTCGCCCCTAATTTAGCACCTGAGCTCTGGCAATAACATTCAAATCCAAAATAAGCTCTACAGCAACTCAATCCTGCACGCTGCCCAACATTTGCTTAGCCTTAAGTATGTGAGTAAGCCTATTAAAGGCCCTGAGACAAGCACTTGCAGTTAATTAAAGCTAACCACACTACTGCATAGTTTACAAGCCATAATAATTTTTAGCATCATAAAGACCAACACCAAGAACCCCCTCCCTTCCTTCCTCCCTAGTCCCAACACATGGTACTGTACGCACATATACACTGTCTTTCCTGGGGCTCCCAATAAAAGTGCCATTTCTTTTGTATTGCAGTAGAGAGTAACCAATAAATATCTGGCTCAAAGTGACACAGAACATTTTCAAAAGACTTCAGGCAAGTACCTGTATTAATGTTATGCTTAAAGAAGGTTAGGACTGCTTCAATATCTTGAAATTTCCTTTGTTGTTCTTCCTGCTTCATTCATTTCCCCCTCACTATAGTCCTCATTCTGCTTTTGTACATTGAAAAACATTTCATTCTTAATCCCAGATTCTGCACACTGCCATGTCTGGGTTCTACACATTTCAGCAGTGCAGAAGGATCCCCATTTGTTTAAAATCATGTGAGCAAAAAGAAGCAACATTTCCATAGAGTATATGTTTCATTTCATTAAGCTTTTGGGAAGCTCAGGATGGGGCTAAATTTAAACAGAGTGAAGAGGTGGAATGATCTTACAGGGACAACACTGGGGGGACACTGACAAAAATGAACTAAACCTTCAAATCATAAAATCAGAAAAGACAAATTAATGATGCTATAATAAACCCACAGGTCTTCCTGCTGTGCTTCTCTCTGCTCTTAGATTGGGTACCAGCAGCTGTAGCTACTGTGACTTCAATATGCAGCACTCGACAGAATATTTCACTTGACTGAACTTTAAAGAGTAGCTTGTAAAATGTCATTTGTTTTCTTAACAGAGTAAGACACAATGTCTAGAGGGAAACAATAAAACACAACAAGCAAGTGACTACTTACAACTGTGATTTGTTTGTGTTGGGTCCTGAATTTGCCATACTAAGAACACCACGTCCTGTGTGGGACAAGTTGGGCTTAAATTCATCTTTGAAAGGTTTTCCCCAGTAAGATTCTCCTCCTTAACAAAAAAAAATAAAAGAAGAAAAGTTCGTTTTCATTAGTTTTCCACTACATGTTGTAACAGGAACAGACATTAAATTTAAGCTTTCTGGTACTTCAAATCCCATGTATGATACGTTCTTTCTTCATCCCTATCACTAGGCTAGTATTTGAGCATGCCCTTGAAATCAGATGTTTTTAACTGGCAACACAATTCTGTTCTTCCACACTACCAACTGCAACAGACCTGACTGCTTATCAACAGCATTATACATTGTGTGATGAAAAACTGCCAAGTATTTAATTTTTTACTGCTGGCACACTATTGTTTTTTGTTTTTGAGACATTATTTCTTTAAAAAGTGGCTTCCTGACAGAACACTGAGCAAAGAATTACTAGCTTAATTGCTCTCTGGATATGGCATTGCTTCTGGAAATCAAATATTACAGAGATTAAATACATTGATAGAATCAACTAAGAATAGGAACTATAAGCCCAAATGCTTAATTCCTTTCTAAAGAGTGAAGAATGATGATATACATTTCTCCAAAATGAAAGGTAAAAATGAGATATTTGGACTAGATACATGGATGCTGTAAGCATTTAAATGCAATGAAGTCAAAAGGATGATGAAATTTTGCACAAGCCATAGACCCAGCCCTCCAAAACCGATTTCTCTTCCATGTCTTTGCATAGAAAGAGGGTCTGGGAGACCTCTCCTCCCGGCTGTCATTTTTACATTATTTATGACAGACCTGGCATTTTCATTTGCACTTTCCTCCAGGATCATTCTTAATAAGAAAAACGAAGGGTGAGATGAGTCACATAGTTTTTTACAGTCTAATCCATAATCTTGTTTGACAAACCATGAAAAAAATATTTCACCTTAGGATAGTATTAAAAATAAACCCAACAAAACTATTCAAACAGGCTGCAAGACTGGTCCATCTGCAGAACCAGCTCAAGAATCCTCTACAGTAAGTGTATCACTTGCGAAGCAGAAGGCCAGTAAAGGATCAGTAGTGCTCAACGGTTATTTGCACATGTAATACAGAAAAGCGATTTAGTGATGTGGCTGCACAGGCAAGCAGCAAATAAACCTGAGGAATGAAACAGGCTCCTACTGAAAACCTCATGAGGAAAATCACACAAGTGCATGAAATGAGCGTTTCAGATGATAAGACAAAGGTGGGTGGCTGTATGTGCAAGGGGAACTAAGCAAGTGAGAAATTTTGGAAGAAACCCACCCATTTAAACCCCAATTAATCCTGTTCAAGAGACTTATTAATAGAGTTGAGTGTTGCCTCCTCTGCAGTTTGTCAAGAGGCAGCAAAAGGGGACAATCCCTGCAGGGATTTTCTGTAATCAGGAGTATTGGAGGAGCGATTACTTCAGCAATCTCTGGCTATTGAATATTTTAAGATCAGCTAAATTACATCAGCTTGATCTCATATGCCAATCTCTTCCAGTAGTGGGTGAAAGGGATATAGTACAGCTGCAGCCAGTTCTACTTCTTGAAGATGGATCCAAACCTCAGCTATTCTAGCCAAGTGTTCAATCTATTAAAAAATGTTTTACCAGAAGCCAATAATTTGCTTTGCTAATGAATCTCCCTGTGTGTTGCTTCTTGCTAAGAGAGGTTATCTGTGCAGTGCTGTAGTTACCTGCCTTATCCAGAAGAACAAAGTTCCTTTATGTTAGTAAATAAACAAACTACACTTGGAATATAGGGAGGCTCCACGCCAACAGGTGCTGCCTGAAACCAGAAACACACCTGCAAAGCCTGCAGACCCAGTGCCCACCAACAGCACCATGCCCTGTGCACTGCTTCTCTTTCCCTCTTTGCCTTTTACAGTTTTCACCTTCTCACTCCCTGCCCACACCACCACACTGCTGCAGGGCCATTGCTTCAGGGCTTGCATTTCAGCTGGGGCTCTGCACCTGAGTAATCAACTTCACTTGGACTTCCCTTGGAGAAAACCGTATTTTTGCTCCAAAGGATCTCTTGAAGGGGCTCCCTAATCATTTGTAAAGCAGATGCACTTGCTCTAAGTTCTAACCTAGAGGAGTTTTTGCTGTCTGAAATTTTCAGATGATAAGCAAGCATGAACACAGCCCATTGAGATGGTACAAAGCAGCAAGTGGCCAAACCCTTGAGTCTGTTACAGCCTTCATATGTTTCCAGCTGATGCTGAAATTACAGTGATTGTCAAGCTGCTGAAGGAGAGTAGAATCAGCCCTGAAGCCTTTGCTGCTCAGAAAAAATAATTCAAAAGGAAAGAGAAAAACTGTGAATGACAGAAAGAATCTCCCTTTCTGGCACAATAAGCAACCAGACCCAAGAGCTTGCAGACAGGAGGAATGAGCCATGATCTTTAAGTTTTGGAATATTTCTTTTTGAATGATTTCATTTCACTGCAGGTCAGAATTAATGTCATAACTTTGGTTCATTCCAGTTCTCTGGAAATAAGTGCTAGTATTTTAGAGGATAGTTACAGCACAAAATCCAGCCCCTGCTTCCCCCTCTGCCTGCCATACAGCTGTTTCCAAGGCTAATTCTGTCTGCCTGGGAGCTGCAGCACGAACAGGGAATGGCCTGTGCAGCATTCGCCTGAAAAGCCAGAGGTCCTATAAAGGACATAGCTGAAGTGTCTGTGGAGGCCTGGCAGCACGAACTGGCAAGGGGCAGTGGTGATGCTGCAGTCAGCAGGACAGGAACAGATTGGGGTTTCTTCTCTTTTTTGAAATGAAAAACCCAACACTGTATTAAGCATTCTCATTAAATTGAAAATGGCCGGAAGATGCTGTTTGTCAAACTCCTGCTAACCTCTGGAATTGTTCCAGGCTGTATCTGCTTGAAGCAGGGCCAGACAGAGCAAGCCAGAAGATGGTGTGTTAAATGTATGTATTTTTTTAATTACTGAAACCCAGATTCACTTTCTCTCTGAAGATTAAGTACAAATCCCTCATTAGTCTACTGCCATGGCAGCACTGTGCCTAATGCTTAGCCAGGGGGGTCTGGAACAGGAATTTTAGATTCTTACTTTTTACTCTCTACTGTAGAGCTCAATGTAAACTTGGGAAAATAACTCTCTAATCATTACGTGGCATTTTGAAGTATCTAGCAGATTTTACTGTGTTTATTCTCAACATGGTTGGGAGGTGTGGCTGTGCCATCTTCCTCATTTTCTGAAAGCAGAACGGATGCAGACAGGCAGAGGAGGTGGGACCATCACACTGTCTAGCTCTATCCCTCTCATGTTACACTCCTGGTATATGCCATAAAGAGAGGATGCTCCTCCTTATAGTCCCCAAATCCTCCTCAGAGAGCACACAAACACTGCTGACTATATATGGAGTCATGATGATGTAAAAACCTCACCCCAAACTGATGTACTAGCCTACAAGAACAGCCCATGGAAAACAAGAATTGACTCTGGGTGTTAGATTCACAGCGGGCAGCACTGCCTGTCACTTCACCTTCCTCTCAGCTTACTCCCTGATAAGATTATCTTCTGTCAAAGAGGAGCTGTGTGCCTACTGGACTTGCAAATGTTTCTGAGATCCTATTACAAAAAGCACCAGAAAAAAATTCTGGGGACTTCTGTGCTAAAAGTCAGAGGAGTTCACATGGCAGCAGACATGCCACAGGCTGAGCTGGTGCTGGGACTGGGAAATGGGGGTCTCCTGTTGGTACAAGGCTGGAAACTTGGGACTGGCCAAGGAAATACACTGGCCTTCTAGCAGCATTTAACCTGCACAATGTCAAAGCCTTCAAGAGCCAGAAAGAGTTTTTGCACAGTTCTGTAAAATGAAAAACACATGCTAACCCAGATACCCAGGACTGAAATCTGAAGGCAGCTGGGAGCCACTTCCCCACATTTTTAATAACAGAGAAAAGTTCTCTTAAGTTAGAGATGTTTACCTAATTGTTACACAGAGATGAAACCAACCAGACCACACAGCTCATAGGAAAAATTAGACGGCGTTCATCATTTCCATGGCTATCCAGAGTAGCAAGATATATTTAGGTTGTAACTGAAGCACTGCTAGTTATTCAGTCTTGTATCTGCATCTTGTTCTGATAGTGAAAAGGTGAATAGATCTAAACTGACATCTGAAGCAGTAAGAACATTAGCAACTACAGAGAAAACCTGCACATTTTCAAACTGTCTTTTGAACTGAACCATCTTACTCTTTGGTAGCCTTTACTCTTACTAAATGCATTTTTTTTCCAGAAAGAAAATTTTTGGGGTAAAATTACAGAAATCATACAACTTTCTTGCAAGAGCTGAGAGATGCACCTAAAGCTTCAGAAATGTAGCATTCCAAAAGCCAGGTGTGGGCTGGGAATCATCATTCATGACAGTTGTGATTTTAAATAAATCCTTTCTTTTTCTGGCATAAAAATTGCTAAGCAGTGGTAAAGAAGTGGGAGGGCTCTGATTCACAAAAATGATGGCTTACTTTCTGTAATTTTCTTCTTGTCATTTGGAACAAGGAGGTACATAATAACATCTGACACTTCTTCAGAGCTTTCCAAGTAGGATTCTTGAATCATTTTGCAAATATGAAAGCCTTAGCTCAGCCAGTAACTGCTTCTCTCCTTTCAGATAAGAGGACACAGTACTTTTAACCCCAATTATCAGAGACTGGATTTTCAGGGGGGCCACAATCTAAAAGGAGTACATTGCTAAATAAAAAGGTCTTGCCCTTGTCCTTTTGCTGAGCTTCAGTCATGCAAGAAAAGGGGCTCTAAAACTGGTTACATTTTAGGAACTTGCCTTGTTAGGAAATCTTATTGCAGAACTGACCAAGTTTGTTCACAGTCCTTTGCTATTGACAGTTCAGAGGAGCTCTGCTCATTGCCAAATACTACTGGTATTTTATCTTGGACTTTTACAGCTATTATATGCCTCTTTTGTGCCTTCCTGGATTCACAAATGGACAGAGGCACACACACAGGCTGGTTCATGAGACCTTCCATTAGGTTGTGAGTAAGAGTAGCTGAAAAATGGTCTGTGCTGCTTTGAAACTGTAATACAAAAGGGTTAGGATATTAAACCTATTTTTCCTACATGCAAATTTTCTTCTGTTATTTGAAATACTGAAATACAGAGCAGCTGCTCCACTTGCACTAGCATGAGTTAGATGGAATTACTCATGGTGTTCAACCACTTAGTTGTTATGAACAGCAGGAAAAGAGATACATCACAAATCTAAAATTCATTTTCAAATAATTAATCATTACAAAGAATGACCATGACTCAGCTTATTGCTCTGAATACTGCCTCTATGGGTGGTTATTTTGTTAGAAAAGAAATAAGCTGCTGCAGCAATGTAAAATTTCTCCCAGTAGACTTATGAAACACTAAGTTGAAGTCTGTAGAAAATTAGTTTGGTCCTCTAAATCAGTGTCTGCATTACAGGACTATATAACTGACTGCTTTGGCAACACAGGTCTGCCAGCTAAGCTAAGATAAGCTAAGGTAGAACTATTCCTCACTCTTTTCCCCGTGTGACATCTCAACTTCTAGATGCTATAATGCTAATTTCCACCCTCCTCCTGCTGAGTACCAGCAATCAATTGTCCTTCACAGGTCTTCTGGGTCACAGTTACTTCCACAACAATGTAAGAGACTCAGAAAGGACACACCAGGGTGCTGAATAACAAATAGAAGTAAGTATCAGTGCTGCTTTCAGATAGGACTGTTCAGCCGGAGCAGCCATGGAAGCGGGAAGGAACTGACAGCCAGCGTGGCATCTTACATCTGTGCACTGTTTCCAAAACACAAGCACTCTTAATCTACGTGAGCCTAGAGAACAGTTCCAGTCTATGTGTGACATGTAACCATACGCCAGGTTGTACTCAATGTGCCCAAATCCACCCAGAAGCTGAACAGTCCTGGGCTTAGTTAGCAATGGAGTGGGTGATCATCAAAGCATTTGGGTGTTGCAACCATAAACCCTGCACCTGCTGATGAACAGGGATGAATGTCAAATGACAGAAACCAAATGGTGGGAAGATTCTTAAACAAGTCAGTTCTAGTTCCTGAGCTGATGAAGAGTAATGAAATAAATAAAGCAAATCAAAGATAAATTTGAAGGCTCAACACACCTTCCACATATCAGTTTGGAAAAGGTGTTTTTCAGTTTTAAACAAAGAAACATCCCAAGCCTCTTACCCATAAGATTTCAGTTAAAGTAGAAGGTTCTATGGGGAAGAGAAAACAAAGGATGTTCTTTTTTTCTGTTCTAACAGAAACAATTCTGGCAGTTTAAAATACTGATGTTTAATAAGTAACCTCCAAGCAGTCTTCCCTATTGCCAACTGAATTATCTGGAAAGAAAACCCTGTTCTACTCTCATTTGCTTCTCTGATATTAACAAAGTCCAGCTATTTACTCCCCAAGTAAACCTCTAAAGACCAGTAAATATTATGGACTTCTTAGCTTTCAATGATGCATCTTTTTTTTTTCCCTTTAAGAAGCAGTAAGAAATATGGAAATTCCTTGCAGCTGCCAAATGAAATAAAAAAGGGAACTTATACTGCAAGTAATGTACAAGACCCAAGTATAAAAAAGTACAAAGCACCGAATCCAAGTGCTTTACTCCAAAGCTTTCCCAAATGCACACGTATGATCACATTAATAATGCACAAACCAGTAAATGACATTTTTACACCATGGGAATCCAGAAGAGCATCACTGCATTTGCCATGCTCTTAAACTGCTGCTGAGCTGTACCTTCCTCTGGCGATGCTGCTGCAGGCAGAACACAAAACCAGACAAGCACCTCAGGTCTGACTACCTTCTTACAGCATGTGCCTCGAGAGTTGACCATTTACTTTTTCTTGTGATATTATCATATTTAATAAGTGATTAAGGATATCTAAAACTCAAGATGTATTAAAAAAATAGAAACCAGACAGTTGCATCATTTGGACTCTACAATAACTGCAAACAGCCTCTAAAAATCTGCAACACTTGTAGCTATTTGAATGTACACTGCCCATTTTATTAGAACTTTAATAGTCTTGACAGATGTTTGCAAGCCATCTTGCCTGCAGTATACTCGTATTTAATTTAGAACGACAGGAAGGAAAACAAGACAGAAAAGACTAGAGGTCATTAGACTCCTTTTATAAATAAAAGAATATGCATAGGAGGTTTTTTTCTCCTATGGGCTTAGTTGCATTTTGCTTCCTATTTGCTTTGCCAGTAGAGCTGAGCCTTGATCTTCAACGCCAGTCCTCTGCCAACTATTAATTGTGCTGTCTTAGAATACCCCTACCATTTGCACAGAGACAAGAATGACACCAGCAAGTTAATTTTCATTCAACAGAAGGAGCTGAATTCCACCCTATGAGGGTAAAGGTGCCTGAGTTAACTCATTACATTTCTTCCATCTCCTGACACCTGTTTAATTTCTCATTTTAAAAGATGTTACTAATTATGTCTTTTGGGATTTGAACCAATCTTTCCTTATAACCAAGTCAAATCACGTTTCTTTTGACAGCCCAAGTATATAAGGTAACAAATCCTGTTCATGGGCTTTTGCCATCAACACAGAATCTTTAACTAATCTCAAATCTTAGAGTATGCAACTGTTGAGTATCACATGCAGCAGAAGAAAAGTTCTTGGGCAACTGACAACCAACATTATTTACAAAGTAAATAGAGCTAAAGTATTTAACAACTACAACGACATCTTTTTTTGGATGATCCATGAGCACACAGAAGAACAATACAGAGCTTGCATACACAAGTGACACATGTATGAACTAGAATAAGAATTATCAGAACCCTACAGGACCAGGGAAGGACCTGTGGAGGCTGGGGACATCTACAAGTGGGTAGATAAAAGGTGCAAGTGGAAAATGAGCAAATCTATAGCAGCAACTAGAGATACCATGTGGTGGGCAATTATCTATTGTGGTGGGCAATTATCTATTGTGGTGGGCAATTTGTGGTGGTCTCCTGATCATTTCTGATATGCCTGCTATGCAGATCTCCAACTAAAACAGAAAGAACAGGCAGAAGAATTTACTAACAATGATCCCTAAAAGTTAGAAAAAGAGCAGCTTGGGCTGTACAAGGCAACTAGCTGGGAGAACAGATGGTATCTGGCCGCTCACCAATAGCGATGCAGGTCTGAAGTATTTCATTAACACTGAATTTGAAAACGACTTTGCATGAATGTTTTCCTCCTTTGTTCTTTGCCCTGGAAGGCCAGCTGTAAAGTCATTGTAATTTTCATTTATTTATTTTCAGGAAGAAAAAAGGAAGCAAAGACCGAGCAAGAATTCTATGGGGAAGAGTGTCCAAGTTTTAAGCTGAGAATATATGAGATGAAATTTTAAGCACAGTTAAAATGGTCATAAAACATACCAACAAACCCCCTGCTTTAAAGCAGCAATACAATGTACCACATACCACCATTTAGAGAATTTTAGGTGTTTGGAAATAAAAGTAACAACATAGCTCATGAAGTGAAAACAGCTTACTTGATTCTAACTCAACCTTACCTGTTCCTGTTCCAGTCGGATCACCTCCTTGGATCTGCAGAATTAAAATTAAATCAATAGCTTACATATATATTTGTGTGAAAGACATTGCATATAAGCCTTAAGAGCCAATTCTGTTTGATTTTCTTCCTTCTATATTGTTGACAAGTTAGCAACAAGGAAACCATTACTACTTGTTTGGAGCCTCTTTTATCAGCTGGCTGTCATCTCCTACATTACTTATCCAAGAGCAGAAGGACAATTTTATAAAAATAATAAGTCTCTTGTGGCTAAATAGGGAAAACAAACAGCCTCAAATGGGTTAACTAGATCACCCTTTCTATTACGTGCTGAATCATAACCTGCTTTTTAACTGATGATGTATTGCTTTTGGAACTGAAAAGGCTTTATGTTTTATTACCAATCCTCCATGTGATGCAAAGGCAAGAAATGAAAGAATATGGAATATTTTCTGCATCTGAATCTGTACTTCTCTGTACCCCCCTCACTATCTGCAGTAGGGAAAATCCTCATGTGAAACCAATCTTGCAGCAACAAAATTAATCACTGCATATACATGCAGGATCTACAGAAATAATAGTCTATTCTCTCCCAGTAGAGGCAGTGTGACATGACTAGTTTCACAGTCACACAAGCACAGTTTTAAATGCAAGTTTAACTATGAACTGAGATACACAGTGCTGCCAAAGGTGTGCTCTGCCTTCAGGATCAGGTTATTAATTCTTCTGAAAGAAAGTTACACTGACAGCTACAATATCTTAAGCTGCTTGGACTGCACCTATGTAAGTAAAGATCTTTAAATACCAAAGTCAACTTCCTGGTTCACTAGGTGCTCTTTCACTCCTTCACAAAGAAAGCCTGGGCACCCTGTCCTGGAGCACACTCAGCAAAGGATAATCTGACAGTATCCTAGTACCACAACCTGAATCAGACATTCAGCTGCTTTCTAAAGTTTCACCTGAATGGGATTTCAACAGGCCACAGTATTACTTATCCAAATTAGCATTTCCCTCCCTCTCTCTCTCTCTCTCCCCTTCTGTTCATTAACCACCCACCCACAGCTTGGGGAAGATAACAAGAGCTTTGCCAAAGCAATGACTGTCAAAGGCTTTGTCTGGAATGCCAGCAAAGCACTACTAAATGCAGTGATGCTCCAAGTGACAATATTAGTCCGAGACAGTTGTTAGTAAGATTAGTAAGTACAAATCTAGTAAATTAGGACAATCCTAATTCTGATGTTATATTTAATATATATCTATTGCAAACAGTCATGCATGGAAGAATATAAAACCGAATTAAACTAAATAAATAGCGGAGGACATCACATATTGTACATTACACAGGATCTGTTCAATACTCACCACAAAATTACGAATTGATCTGTGAAAAATTGTTCCATCATAATAGTTCTTCTTGCACAATTTGATAAAGTTTTCACAGGTCCGGGGTGTCTGAAAGTCAAACAGAAGTTTGAATTAAGGCTTTAGCAATCGAATGGGTCATTATACTGTTTACAAGAATCACTTCTAATTTGTGCCTTATGAAGAAACAGCCACACAGGACTTGAAGAGGAATGAGTCTTTCTACAGAAAAAAAAAAAAAAATGTTCTTTTTAAAGCATACAGTATACAGTATAAAGGAGAGACATGCGCTGTGTTAAATAAATTAAACCCAGACCTTCCAACTAGCACAAAGCAGCACTGAACACTAGCTCAGATAACGTGAGCTCCCAGTGGACATAATGACGGTAAAAGTAGGTAAGCTCAGAGACTTTCAAGTAACTCAGTTCCAGCAGTGTATCACAATCCTGTTCCAAAGGGGGGCTTACAGCACTGAAAAATGTTAAATTTCCCAGAGTAAGAAAGAACCCGACTTCTCTGCTCCATTATTTCAAAGTGAACACAGTGAAGCTACCTGGGAGAGAAGCAGCATTTGGTCCTCTTTACCACCTGAAACTGAAAATGGGACTGACCCCAGAAGCCACTGGACCACAGGAAAAATAAAAAAAGACAACTTGTTTAGCAGAGATGCTAAATACATTGCCAACTTCTGATTTGCTTTTACAGTACAAATTAAAGCTATTTATTTTAATTTATGGGCCATGGCATTCAAACAGTACCTTTTGAAAAACTTTACTGTCTACCTAATTATCCTTCCACTGTAATTGTCTGGATTCTCTTCTCTGCGACTCTAAAATACCTTCAAATGTACAAATGCAAGTACAGAAAAAGCCTGTTTTCTATACTTGGACATGTTTTCCAGCTCCAGTGTGAATTATGTGCATAAATATATTTGTTTTGCAAAACAATACATCTAACTAATCTGAGTTGTCACAGGCCTTGAAAATACCCTTATTGTGGTATGTGCTTGCAAGTAAAGCACCAGCATGAGTCGCAGTGTCTGTATATGAACACACACAAGAAGCCTCTTTCTGTAAGCCACTGATACACTCTGCACTGGTATGACATCATTCTTGGTCTGAGGGCTGCAGACAGAGTGAGACTGAGCCATGCAACCTGGAGTGGCTTAGAAGCAAAAAAATGCAACAAGCCTGATTACAGTCATTTAAGGATGAAATAATCTCAATCTTTTTAAAAGCAGAGCCATATAAATGTTCACCCAGAACCCTAAAGACCTTCAATTTTCTCATATGAAACACAGTCATTCTCAGCCCTCTTTTATTTACACTGAGATGTCTCTTATTATCCAAACAAACTCTACCTGCCACTATAAATTCTTTATAATGATTCCTTCTTACTTGCTCTACCCATACAGATGGCAGTTGTCAGCTAGGCCGTAATTGGAAAACCAAACAATCTTACACCAGCTATTATGTCAGATTTCCTATATATTTAATTACTGCTTTAAAATGGTAATGGTAGCATAATGGATTTATGGTAGAATACTACTGGGAAATGTATTTTGGTAGCATCCTGAAAGCAATTTGTAAGTAAACATACTCCACAAAAATTCTTTCAAACAATACGAGGTTTTCCCATAGTTTCAATGTTCACATCAAATTTGAATTTTTTTCCTGGAATTTGCCACATACGCTTGAAAATAATCTTTGTACATAACCTTCCAAGTAAAATTCAATCCCTGAAGAATCATTTGTGCAGCATATGCTTCCTTTATAATACAATATCATAAGAGCCTTGATCCTAACCTAGTGCTTATTAGTTATCACTCATGGAAAGTGTCAGTAAGGATAAAAATAAGCTTAAAAAATTTCTTTACGAATCAGAAATGGAATCAGCAGCTTTTAGCCAGAGGCACTTTATCTCATGAGAACCAAGAACTCCTTGGAGAGAGACACAGTTAGTAAGTTCTCGGGGGGGGGAATACAGCAACCTGTAATTAATTAAGAAAAATGAAGTCAGACAAAAGACTGAGTCCCCTGGAAATACACACACGCACACACACACGCACACACACACACTCCAATCTGTCCTGAACTGGCACCAAGCTGACAACCCAATACAGATTTCCTATTTATTTTCAAAACAAGGATTTGTAAAATATACATCAAAAAACCTGACTCTGGTGATGTATTTTTTACGCAGGACCTGTGCTCACCCTTCTCTCTGAATGGATTATTATGCCTTTTCCCCCAAACAAGCTTTTCAAATGTAACTACACAAATATTTAGCATACATGCAATAAGCATTTCACTACGAGGTTTTCTTTAAATAATTGCTACCAAATTGGTTCCCATGGTCACCTCATGCATCATACAGATACGTTTGTCAGGTAAACAGTTCCTTAGCAACATTACCATTACTTTTCATGGTGCTTTTAGTAGACACAAATAAAAAGGTTTGATTCAATCAGTAATAAACCCCAGTTTCGGTCATGCAGTTGATCTAGAATATCTGGCTCAGATTATCTAATTTATTCAAAGAAGTTAATGTTCTTGCCACTTGTCTCACACTGCCAAGCATATTTCAGGGACTTTTTAAAGCAGTATACTGCCCAAAGCTGGACAAAAACCCTTGAGGTTTATAGGCAAGTCGTAGACCCTCTGTAATGAAGCTACGTTCTGCATTGACCATACAAACAAGGACAGTCTTTGAAGTCTTTGTTAAAACTACAAAGACTGATGAGAAATATACATAAACAAACCTGCCTGTTATTTAAGTGTAAGATCTTGTAGAAGATGTCAGACTTGCAGTCTTGGAATGCAAACCTGTCTACTTCTTCAGAAAGCAGACTCCACACTGTTTGCCTCACACCATTTCTGAAGGAGAAAGGGATGGTGAAGGCACCTGGAAATGCAGAAGCGCAGGAGGCAACACTGGTTTCTTGTTACCTTATTATTGACAATGGGCTCCAGGCTGTCTTTTCACTCCTGGCTGGTTTTCATTCAAATTGACCACAACAGCAGCAGCTGACTTTTCCCTCTTCACTCCTTTTACAGTAAGCAGGAAATTATCTAAATTATTTTAATCTGCTGACTATGATTTAAACATATATGTAAGGAAATTAAGGGAATAATGACACCTTAATTTGTTAACCTGTTGATCTGAAAGCCACTGACAGAAAAGGAGTAATTTTTTAAATCCACTGCAGTATCTTCTCAGAAGGATGCAGTGATAGTACTAGGAAGTCAAATTAAAAAGTTGTGGAAGGCTTTTCTCTCCAAAGAGTGTGGTAGGACAGCCCTGATAAATCCTTATTTTCTTTGGTCAAGCTGGGACCGTGCAAGTTAACACTGTGTCTCTGTATGACATCCTTCAACTTAAAGATATTTCTCTCTCCAAATGACAAACCACAAGAAGAAGAAAAAAACCCTTATTTATACCAAAAACGAGTCTTCTGCTCCAACTCTGCTCCCTGTTTGTAGATGCCAGATAACTGTCTTTCAGCTGTTGAAAATTCACACCCAAGACAAGTGATAACATTTTAATAAATGGTTTGAGAGGAATCCAGAAGAACAGTTATCTCAGAAGATGACACAAATGCTTTGCTTGGCTCACAGAAATATACATTTAATGGGGCAACATCCCAACAGTTTTCTGATTATGTTTAAGTCTCCATTCAGGTAACACACTCAGCACGCCACTTTACATGGAAATACCAGCACTCCACCAGTTACTAGGCCCAGACTAATTTCAGAAGTCAAGAGACTGCTGCACAGGTACTGGGAAAACATTCAAGAAAGGAATATACAATTTAGAAAACTAAAGCAAAACAGAAAAAAAAAACCCTGACTCCTTACTATAAAATGGTAGGAGATATGTAGATTTTATCTTGTTCCACATTCAAGTATTAACTGTGCCAATTTTAGTTTCCTTTTTGCCATCAAATGTGGCTCCAAAACAGGCAAAATTCATCTCTCCTGCTGCATCCCCAGAACTGAGGGGTAAGACTAACCAAGCCAGGTCACTATCAGATTTCTCAGTTTGCAGCTCTCCTTTCTCATGTTAAAATAGGTCATTATATTTGTAAAAGTTACCTTAACTCAGAATTTGTATTGGGCAGTTGAAGAGCCAACCAGAAATAGATTAAAAACCTGCAGCACTCCTGTTGCCAAGGTACAGGAGATGGGAAAAGAAGAAGTTCTGAGTCGTTGCCATGACTGCAAGGAAGAAGGGTTTACTATGTGAAGAGCTAATCATTTCAAAATGCTCTATCCCTTGAGGTTGTGCATGAACCTTGAAGAGAAATTTCACACTAAGCATTCAGAAGCTGTCATTCGCACATCTGTATAATTTCCCTGTGCTAATTCCACTTCCCTTTTATTTCTTTTTGTCTCTCTAAATTGGATGAACCGTAGTAGCTGCACTAAACTACAGAGCCTTGATATATGCTCATTAACCCCATGTTTCAAAGCAGAAATAATCTGAAATAATGAAAAGCTCGTTCCTCACAAATTAAAATTACATTATACAGCCTTCATCTTATCACACAAATGCCAGAATCCTGCTACTAAGAGGCATGAACTAGTGATGGAAATTTCTAAAGCTTCAAACGAAGCCTGCAGTTTTTTTTAACACAGCTCTCCTTTAAAATGCAAGGGGGATTTTGTTTTGCTTTAGTCCATTTATGGACTTTTTTTGTTTTTTACACAGAGCATTTTCACTCCTGTAATTGTTCATTCTAGCAAGTCTCCTAATGCTTGAGCACATAAAGAGGTGATTTGGTAAGGTTTAAACTTATCCCTTTCAATCTGCAATCCTCATAGTCTATCCATCCCACAGGAAAGAACTCACCCTAATAGAAGGTTGGCTTTACTTTGTGCTTACTCGGAGACAATTATAATGGAGCGGTTTCTGGAATCACCATCTACCAGGTGCAAATGTCTGTTCCCTCCACTAAGTCATGGAAAGAAATTTGACATATAAGTGTATCCTGTGTGCTTCAATGCATAATACTGTACTGGAAGGCAATTTAAGTGACTGTATTTCACTCTGCACCAATGGACTAGGAGCACGCTCCATTTGTTTCAGAG